GTAGAGAAAATAAATAAAACAACAGATAATTTCAACAGAGAATTGAAATGCATTTAAGAGAATTAGCAAGACAATGTGGCAGTTTCTGAAAAAGTTAAAAATAGAACTACCATATGATTCAGCAGTTCCACTTCTAGGTATATGCCCAAAAGAACTGCAAACAGGGATTCAAAAGCTATTTGCACACCATTATTTACAATAAACTAAAGTTGGAAACCACTCTATAGTTGACCCGTGAACAACACAAATCTAAACTATATGGGTCCACTTATATGTGGTTTTTGAAAAGCTTACACTTAAAAATAATTCCCCTCTGCTGTTATATTTCTTTTTTTTAATTTTTAATTTTTAATTTTATTTTATTTAAAATAAATCTTTATTGTTCAGATTATTACAAATGTGTTCCTCTTCCCTCCCTCAATTGCTCCCCTCCACCAGGTTCCCACCCCACCCTCTGTCCTTTCCCCATCTCCCACTGTCCTCATCCATAGGTGCACAGTTTTTGTTCAGTCTCTTCCCGCAATCCCACTCCCCTTTTCCCCGAGAATCGTCAGTCCACTCCCCTTCCATTCCTCTGATTCTATTATATTCACCATTTAATATTGTTCATCAGATTTTTTAATTCCCTTGGTTTTTAGATTCACTTGTTGATAGTTACGTATTTGTTGTTCATAATTTTTATCTTTATCTTCTTCCTCTTCCTAAAGAACCCCCTTCAGCAATTCATATAATTCTGGTTTGGCGGTGATGAACTCTTTTAGCTTTTTTTTTTATTAGTGAAGCTCTTTATCTGGCCTTCAATTCTGAGTGTTAGCTTTGCTGGGTAGAGTATTTTTGGCTGTAGGTTCTTGCTATTCATCACCTTGAATATTTGTTGCCATTCCCGTATGGCCTGCATGGTTTCTGTTGAGAAATCAGCTGACAATCGTATGGTGCTCCTTTATAGGTAACTACCTGCTTTTCTCTTGCTGCTTTTAATATTCTCTCTTTGTCTTTTGCTCTTGGAATTTTAATTATGATGTGTCTTGGTGTGGTCCTCCTTGGATTCCTTTTGTTTGGGGTTCTGCGGGCTTCCTGGACTTGTAGGTCTGATTCTTTCCCCAGGTGGGGGAAGTTTTCTGTCACTATTTCTTCCAGTATGTTTTCGGTATCTTGCTCTCTCTCTTCTTCTGGAATCCCCATAATTCTGATGTTGGTTTGCTTGAAATTGTCCCAGAGGTTTCTTACACTATCTTCAACCTTCTGGATTCTCTTATCTTCTCGCTTCTGCAGAGGAGTGTCCTCTGGCTCTTTGTGTTCTAAATCTTTGTCTTGATTCTTGCGATCTTCCCGTCTGTTTTTAGGACTCTGTGTAATATTTTTTATTTCAGACAATGTTTTCTTTATTTCTAGTTGATCCCTTTTCATCTCCTCATAGGTCTCGTTTATTTTATCGGCCTTTTTTTAGGATATTGTTGAATTACCTTATAACTGTAGTTTTGAACTCAATGTCCTATCTTTTCTTTTCCTTCATCTCCTTCCTTTGTGTCCTTCCTCTTGTCTGCATTTTAGTTGTTTTTCCCTGATTTGATGGAATAGCTTTGTGTGCTAGGTGTTCTGGTAGAGCCCAGTAGCACAGCCTTCCCAGTTACCTGAGGTGGACAGACTTGGTGTAGCCCTTTTTTGTTAACCCTTGCTTATTGTTGGTATCACTGGGAAGTGTTGATCTCCAAGCCAATTGGCTGTGAGGATCAGCAGTGTCTCAGCTAGGAGGGCTTCTGTACACCGCTTGGATTGGGTGGGGTCTCGGGGTGGCACAGACAATCTTTGGTTCCCTGTCAGTCTCGCCTTAGAAAAGTCCTATTCGCGGAGAGTTTCAGAAGATTGGTTGCAGGCGTGTGCACCTCTTTGGTAAAGGCACAGACAAACTTTGGCTTCCGGCCAGACCCTCCTTAGAGAAAGCCAGCCTCTGGAAGAGCTTCTGTGCTCAGCCACAGATGGGGCGGAGTCTTGGGTTGGTGCAGACAAACTTTGTTTTCCCTTCGGCTCCTCCCCAAGTCCCGCAGTAATGGCCTCTGGCTTCACACACCTCTGAGAGATCTCTGCCCACTGCCTGACAGTCTGGCCTCTCCCTGTCTGGGGCTGTCTATCAGAGCAATAGGGTGATTCTGTTTTCCTCTCGAACAAGAAAGCCAGCCGCGTTAGCTGTTCGCCCTCTCCGCATGCCCCAGGAGTAAGCCAGTAGCGAACTCAGCCCGGCCCGCCCTCTCTGTGTGCAGGGAGTAAGCCAGCAGCAATCTCGGTCCAGCCCTTCCTCTCCGCACCAGGATTAAGCCAGCGCCTTTTCGCACACACAGTTCTCCGTACCTTCACAGTTCCTGAGGTTCAGCGTGCCTTCTCTCTCCTTCCCAGATGGCAGAGCCTCCTCTCAGCTAGCCGTCCGGCGCTTCAGGGCAATGCCTCCCCTGTTTTCCAGTTCTAAATTCAAATTTGTTGTGGTAGGTTGCATTCGGGTGTCTACCCTATGCCGCCATCTTCATTTCTCCTCTGCTGTTATGTTTCTTATATTAGTAATTCCCCCCTTTGCTTAGTTAAGAAGCTGTAATACTCCTGAGGAAAAACTTAAAAAAAAAAAAATCCTGCCTGGATTTTAGAATTCATAGAGTTAAATTGATTTTTTTTTTCTTAGAATTTTGGGAAGCTCAAATTTCCCTGTTTTATGTTCCTATAACAGTGGTCGGCAAACTCATTAGTCAACAGAACCAAATATCAACAGTACGACGATTGAAATTTCTTTAAGAGGTGAAAACCGACTTCTGCGCACGGGCCATGAAGTTTCAATCACACTGTACGTGCGCGCCCGCACGTGGTATTTTGTGGAAGAGCCACACTCGAGGTGCCAAAGAGCCGCATGTGGCTCATGAGCCACGATTTGCCAACCACTGTCATATAACATTTGCTATTGTAATATTTATCTTACCCTCCTGTGCTTCCTCATTTTCTTCCCTCCTGTAAGTTTGGAAGGTCAGGATGTCTAGTCCTCTGCTACATGCACCCACCTAGCACCACTGGCTTGGGTTAAGATAACCACTCAATAATTACAGAGTCTTTCATAAGTTATAATAATTGGGATCCAAACAATCATTACTACCAAAAATATAACTCTCAGATTAAATGTTTTAATATTATTTACATCAGAATATATTAGCAGGAAACAAGGAGTTAAATTTCCTTAGCCTCAAACATTTAAAATATAAGTGCTATGGAAGCAAGGATTAATACTAGAAGTCTTAGACTGACAGAGCAAACTTCCAGAGGTATAGCCAAACGTTAGAATAGAAATTTAATAATAAATGTTTATGCTTTTTAGATAAATTTCTGGTATTTGAGAATAATTACATTTATTCAAAAAATGTGTTCTGGAAAGGGTGCCTGTGTATAACACTTTCAAACTATAAACAAAAAAACCCATCTGATTAGAGTAAACCCAACTTCAAGTATATCTTTCTTTCTATCTATCTATCTATCTATCTATCTTTTTTTTAAAAATATATATATTTTATTGATTTTGTACAGAGAGGAAGGGAGAGAGATAGAGAGTTAGAAACATCGATGAGAGAGAGTCATCGATCAGCTGCCTCTTGCACACCCCCTATTGGGGATATGCCCGCAACCAAGGTACATGCCCTTGACTGGAATCGAACCCGGGACCCTTCAGTCCCCAAGCTGACGCTCTATCCATTGAGCCAAACCGGTCCCGGCTATCTATCTATCTATCTATCTATCTATCTATCTATCTATCTACTAGAGGCCCATTGCAGGAAGATTCCTGCAAGAATGGGGCTTCCTCAGGCTTATTCCTGTGGCCTAAGCGAAGCAGAGAAGGGAGCAAAGCCCACCGAGGCTGGCTTTGCTCCCTTCTCCGCTGCTTCACTCCCTCCCTTAACCGCTTTGCTCCCTTCTGCAGCACTTGGCTTTCTTCTATGCTGTCTTCAATCTTTGCTTCATGCCTGCATATGCAAATTAACCATCATCTTGATTGCATAAATTTGTATACTTGCTCCTGATTGCTTATGGGCGTAGCAGAGGGACACTCAATTTGCATGTTTCTCTTTTATTATTGTAGACTAGAGGCCTGGTGCATGAAATTTGTGCATGGGGAGTGCCTCACCCTAGCCTGCACCCTCTCCAATCTGGGACCCTTTGGGGGATGTCTGACTGCCAGTTTAGTCCTGATTCCTGATCCCTGTGCCTAACCCAGCAGTTGGATATCCCTCTCACAATTTGGGACCACTGGCTCCTAACTGCTCACCTGCCTGCCTGCCTGATCAGCCCTAAATACTCTGCCTGCCTGCTTGCCTGATTGCCCCTAACCCCTCTTCTGCCGGCCTGATCATCCCTAACCTCTCTGCCTGATTACCCCTAACCGCCTCTGCCTTGGCCCCTGCCACCATGGCTTTATCCAGAAGGAGGATGGGACGACCAGAAAATGTCCAGTCTATCTGGTCTAATTAGCATATTACCCTTTTATTAGTGTGTGTGTGTGTGTATTTATATATGAATGTTTATACACACACACATCTTTAAAATATATTTTTATTGATTTCAGAAAGGAAGGGAGAGGGAGATAGAAACATCAATGATGAGAGAGAATCATTGATCAGCTGCCTCCTGGGGATGTGCCTTTGACCGGAATTGAACCTGGGACTCTTCAGTCTGCAGGCTGACTCTGTATCCACTGAGCCAAACCAGCTAGGGCAAACTTCAAGTATATTTGAAAAATAAAAATCCCTCTTTATAATGATGATGCTCTCACACTAGTCTGTATGTATTATGTATTTAGACTTCTGAATCTTAGATTTTCCTAAGTGGGAATTAGTCCTACCAAAATGCTAAGAAATTCAGCACAATTCTACGATCAAAATTAACTTTTACTTATTGAAAATATTATTATATAGATAAGTAGTAAATATGTTATTAATCTAGGTTTTTCCATATACCAGGAAATAAAAAATACTTACTATTATTTTCTTACAGTCCTTTCCTCTGCATAGTTCTGTATAGGTGGAGTACTGCACATATATAATCCAGCTTCCAACAAAAACTGCCAACCAGGAAAAGAAGAGATATTTCATCCGCACATATGAGAAACGAGCCTGTGAATAAAAGAGCACATAACAATTATTCATTCAGCACCAAGTCAGCACTCACTGTCTTAGAACACGATTTCCCCCCCTTTTTTGAAAGAACTCAATATATATTCCGGGCTTTCATATGGCAATTCTCCCAGAACAAAGTGTACTTTCACTGAGTTCAAATAGTGCTGGTCTTAGAAAAGGAAGCTCCTTGGTCCAGCCAACAAAAAGGGAAACAAAATACCCTTTAAAATGTATAACCTTTCAAATACCACCAGCATTGAAAGCTACTTATTAAGCACAAGCACGTGCACCATGCCACCCTGAGGCAGGTTTCAGCTTATTGGTTGAATTATGACCCTGTAAGGTCAGGTACGAGGAGACACACTTCTTATCTACCACAAATTTACACAAGACTTTCAAATAAGAATCTTAAAGTTCTTTATGGGTGATCAAGATAAAAATAATTTAAAAAAAATAAGAACAAGGGATTTGGCTAGTTGTCTAATCCCTCACAGTGGTGTACAACCAGACTAAGAAAATAAACTCCTTTTTCCCTATTGTATTCACTAAGGTCTTATGTTCCTTTTTTTTTTTTTAACCAACCAAATGCTTCACCTCATAGATAGTCTGGAAAGTTGAGAATGCTACAACTATGAAAGGAGAAATGATTGGAGAAGAGAGTGTAAGACATATAAAGGATAATTCCTCCTTCAGAAGATAATTTGTAAGGGAACACAATAAGATCCTCTTTGCATTGTTCTGCTTGCAGTGCTCTGGGATCTAATTGCAACGTGGGCCAGTGGTACCTTTTCTCCATCAACCTGTTAACAAAAGATCGGTGCCACCAATCTAATGCCAATGGTGTCCTCATCTGGGGTGTCGTAAAAAGAGAAACTTTATTCGGGTATACAGTTTTGCAAACCAAGGAAACACCAACTAGTGGAAATTGAAAAGTACATGCTCCCCTCTCCACAAAGGGAATGCTGGGCTGTATAGACAATGTGCTTCCCCTGATCTAGATTGGTCCATTTTTATGCAAATAAGAAATCCAAGAATGTAGTTTGATTGGTACAAATAGTACTGTTCTGATTGCTTGGGATTTTAAGTCCTGATTGGTTATTATGAAACTGCTCTGATTGGTCAGTAAAGAGGCAAATGATGATTCAGCTGTGCAGCTCCAATTGGATGAGGCAGGTTTCAGCTTATTGGTTGAATTATGATTTCAGAAACTTCTCTATAAGGTACAGCTCATGCAGCAGAAACTCAGTGCAAGAAGCTAGCAGCTCAGTCCGGGGCTTTCCCCTGATATGCAGTGTGCATGAGAGGCCTCTATAAACAACGGCTGCTACACTCCAATGATAAATTTGGGCCCTGTTAATGACAAGTATATATATATTTTTGACAAGTATATTCTTTTTTTGGGATCACCAAAACCACACATCAGTTTAATTTTCAAGTGTCAGTCAGTCAAGATAATCTGGCTTTTTTTTTTTTTGAGTTTGGAGCTGCAATGGCCTGGTTTTATAAACAGTAGAATTTAGGACTATGGAGAGAATTGAGCAGAATAAATTAAAGATGTGTAAACAAACAATAAAAAGCTAGTTTTGCTTTTAAAATCACAAGCCAGTTTCTCATACTGGGCAACAGTAGGATACTGTGAGCCTGTGAGCATACAATGAAAGCAGAAAGAGATGAAAGAGAAATGAAAGTGCACCTGCAGAAGACAATGAGTGCACAGGAAGAAGAGACTCAGGAAATACTGAATTCAGTTGGCCCTATTTATGGTTGAGACATCAGTCTTTGTTAGGTTAACAGATGGTGAATCCCATTATCAAAAAGTTTAAGTACAACAAATCCACAGTTAAATAATAGGGCTATAAGCTTTATTATTTTAATGTTATTAAGTTACAAAAGAATGCATTTTAATGCAAGGTATTTTGTGTACTCTAAATGAATCCAGTAAAAAGAAAATTCAGACAATTCCAAATTAAAATCACATAAATGATAATGGGAGTATATACCAAGGGGTTTGTTTGAAAGACATTTAAGATTATTTGGCCCTAATTAGAGGTCTGGTCATCAGATAGAAATGGGTATATAAGATGTGATGAGGCTTAACTATGATTAAATGACATAATACCTATAAAACATAAGTTCATTCCTAGGCACATAAAAATAGTCAACAAATGTTAGCTAAATCAATATGCATGGCACTAAGCAAAAAGCCAATAATGCTGTCTTTATGATTTGATCACCACCTTCTTTTTTGAACTTGCCAGGAAGAAAATTGAATCTGAATCTGATGAAGCTTTTATCTCCAACTGCCAGTTTACAGGAAATACAGGAGACAGAGGAGCATAAGAGAAGTCTAAGTGACACGATTAGGATACAATCAGCAAACTCCAGGCTGTGGGAAACGCTGCAACACACAACCCAGTTTCTTCAAGAAATAAATTACAAGGGGGGGGGGGGCGGGGATAAAGAGAGGATGGGGAAAATGAAAGATTAAAAAATATTTAATAAATAAATAAAATAATCACAATATGTACATCTTTTTGAGTCCTGATTCAAATGAAAATATGTACGGGGAAATGACATTTATGAAATAATTAAAAATTCGAACAGTGACAGGATACTTGGTGGTATTAATACTTTAGGTATGATAAGGGTCTGTGGTAATGCTTAAAGAAAAGAGCTCTAATATTTTAGAGATAGCTACTGAAATATTTATAAAAAAACTGATATACCTGGAATTTGCTTCTAAGTAATGTGGGAAGGGAAAAGTATGGTGAGTATGGTTGAAATAAGATTGGCCAGGAGTTGATAATTGTTCAAGCTGGGTGATGGGTACATGCCTTCTTTTGTAAATGTTTTTCTCTACTGATTTAAAAAGTTTTTATATTGTATAATAGGACATACTGCCACACCAGGACACCACCTTCCCACACATTCCTTCAGCAACTATTTATGGATTGTTTACTATGTGCCAGGCACTTTCAGCACATCTCCAGTTAGGGCCAAACACATAATAAATTTACCACACGACTACCCTTTAAATAGTTAAAAGTGCAACGTGAAGGACCATAGCATGGCATAATTTTACTTTTAGAAGTCCAACCTTATATTAGGTTAATATTTTACATGATTTCTTTGAGACAGGATTTTACTAAAACAAGATTAATTTTGATTTACTTATTAAAACAATCAGGAAATATATGACACTATTTTCTTTTTTCCTCTCCTTGCTCCACAGTAGGAATAAGTCACTGAGTCAGGAAAAACAACACAGACCCTATTGCTGAGTAGCGTTCTCGCCCAGTTCAAGATTTGACCCTGTCTTTCCTTCTTCTGGACACCTACTTCAAAAAGCCCAGTGATGTCCACTGCCCTGCAGATTCTCCATCAATAATTAATTATTCAGGTTTTTATACAAATGTTCAATAAACTTCTTTCTAATGCACAGTGTACTTAATGGATGTTGAAGCTAAGACTTGTATATTTCTCACTCCTGCATATCCAATTTAATAAACTGAAATCATTTGCTTTTCTATATAACTCAAATAGCTACATTTCAAATTTTCTCTGGCATATGTTTAAACTGAAAAACATCCTGTGAACTGGCTTGCCTGCTGAGTGCTTGCTATGATACAGAATGCCAAAAATTCTGGAGAGGAAGTTAGATTTAATGACATTCCCAGCAGGGCACTGGGCATCACCTGCTGTAGACATAATGACAAAAGGAGTGGAACACATTTTTATTCCAGCATGCCATGGAAAATAACGGATTTTGGTGTAACACAAAACAGTACAAGGACCTTCATGTGTTCTCCAATATCTACAGATCTTGATACTTTCTATTTAAAATAATGATTTGAGAAAAATAGTGAGAAACCAAGATGGCGGCATAGGTAAACACCTGAACTTGCTGCCTTTCACAACCACTTCAAAACTACAACTAAAAGACAAAACAGACATCATCCAAAACCACAGGAAGGCTGGCTGAGTAGAAATTCTACAACTAGAAAAAAGAGAAAAGCACACTGAGACTCAGAGGAGCTGCAGAAGGCAGAGGTACCAAGGTGTGCGCACCAAAAGGGCGGCTGGCTTTCTCAAGTAGAGGAAGACAAAAGCTACCAACTGCACTGAACTCCAGTTCCAGTTGAGAATCTGAGGACTCAGACTCATTCGGGGAGAAACTGACTGTCTGGCAGCAGGTGAAACTCGAGAATGGCTTTCTCTCAGAGGTGCTTGCAGTGATTGCCACGGTACACTGAGAACCAGGGGACTCTTAGGGCAGGGATGACAGGAAGCCATTGCTGTCTGCTCCGCCCTGAGACTGCATGAACCAAAGCGATTTCTGTCCAGTCTCTTCCTGCACCCCTCACATCCTCCCCCTCCCTCCCCCCGAGAATTGTCAGCTCACTTCTTTTCTATGCCCCTTATTCTATTATATTCACCAGTTTATTCTGTTCCTCAGATTTTTTATTCACTTGATTTTTATTTTATTTTTTAAAATATATTTTATTAATTTTTTACAGAGAGAAAGGGAGAGGGATAGAGAGTTAGAAACGTTGATGAGAGAGAATCATTGACCAGCTGCCTCCTGCACACCCCCCACTGGGGATGTGCCCGCAGCCAAGGTACATGCCCTTGAGCAGAATCGAACCTGGGACCTCTCAGCCCACAGACCGATGCTCTATCCACTGAGCCAAACTGGTTTCAGCTATTCACTTGATTTTTAGATTCACTTGTTGATAGATATGTATTTGTTGCTCATAATTTTTATCTTTACTTTTTTCTTCATCTTCCTCTTCTTAAAGAATACCTTTCAGTATTTCATATAATACTGGTTTGGTGGTGATGAACTCCTTTAGCTTTTTCTTAACTGTGAAGCTCTTTATCTGCCCTTCAATTCTGAATGATAGCTTTGCTGTGTGGAATAATCTTGGTTGTAGGTTCTTGCTATCATCACTTTGAATATTTTTTGCCACTCCTATCTGGCCTGCATGGTTTCTGTT